TTTGCATTTCAATACCCGGCTATAACCTTCCATTCCTTTTTCTGGGGCATGAACCAAGATTACATGTAGTAGAAAAGAGAGTGGGGGGGGAGAGAGAGAGGGAGAGGGAGAGAGAGGGAAAGGGAGAGGGAGAGAGACAGAGAGAGTGATCCACATCCCTGCAGGATCTCTACTGATCTTTTTCACCTAACATTTTTGTTATTAGTTGGGAAGTCATGTCCGACCCACTGCAACTTCATAGATAACATTCCTCCAGGCCTTCCTGCCCTCTACCAACAGTTAGGCTCCAAAAATTACTCATTAATTACCCCACTTCAAGTACTGGAGTTGCCGTTTCCAAAAGGAACTCTGTGAAAGTGGAATTTATTTTGCATTATTGTTCCAAATGACTTGACACATGACATAGGCAGATAAAAGTTTATCTCGACTGTTAATGAATGAAAAGCTATTCTTTCCTAATTGGCAATAAGATGAAAAGCTGTTTTGCAATACATATACAGTAAATACATCCCTAATATAGAAGCAAATAATTTTCTGTATTTGCATACCAACTATAAAGTCAGTTTATGCTTTTTTTTTCTGGTTATGAAGGAAATCATGTATTTGCATATTAATGCTGGAACATTTTTTTTTAAAAAAAAAAAGACTAAAAGCAGACAAAGGTGTAACATTCTGCAGAAGTCTAGCTTGGGATAGCATTGCAATTTTTGAAGATGAAAAAAGGATCTTGTTGGAATTAAAGAAGTTTCTTCGTATGCTAAGTTCCTTACTAAGTTTGGAACGCAGCTGCTTTCTTACTAGAGGCTTAGAGTCAGGAATTGTGTGAGAGATCTCCAAACAGCTGACAAGCTTTCTATAGCAAACTCTTACTACAGGTAATATTCTTCCTAAGGGAACAAGCCTTTTAGACATACTCATTCTTTTTGTTCCCCACATAATCCTGTGACGTCTTACTCAGAAATCTTTCGTGCCATTTCCTTGTTCCTTCTTAGTTGTTGCAAACTGGGCATGGTGTCAGGACACCTATTGTGTCCAGCAGGGTAGGTGTAACCATGCAATCCTAGTGGGTCTCTTTGAACAGAAAAACAACACTGATGCTTGCAGCCAAGGAATTTGTCCTCCTTCCGTGTTGCAATCCAGTCCTTTGAGTAGAAACCTTGTCGTTTCCCTGGACTCCTGCAACTGGGCAAGCAAGGATTGTAGTCAAGAGCTTCGTATGGAAGGGTTGATCCTAAAGAACCCGAACTGCAACTAGGGGAAATCCAGAAGCAAACAAGTGTAGACTGCGCAAAGTAGGGTGCTAGGAAATATGACCCCCAAAGAACCAAGGTTTTCTGTTCCTTGGCCATTTAGCATCCCTTCCCCTCTTCGGTGCACATATTCAGGGGTGGGACTGCTGGGGGTTTGCAGGGGTTCGGGAGAACCCCTAGCTTAAGATTCTGTGCAGTTTGGAGAACCCCCCAAATCCCACTCCTGGCTGGCCCCAACTCAGCCCTCCCCTCCCAGGAGCCCCCACATGGCCCGTTTTGGATGCAGGTAAGTGCAGGGCGTGTGTGGAGGCTCAGGGAGGGTGAAAAACGGGCCTCCCGGAAGTTCAGGAAGGCCGGAAATGGGCCTGTTTCCAACTTCCAGAGAGCCTCCGGAGCCCAGGGAGGCCATTTTCCCCCTCTTGGAGGCTCGAGGAAAGCCTCGGGAGCCCGGGGAGGGCAAAAACACCTCCCCCCCGCTGTGATGCAGGAGGCTGACCAGCCCACGCCCACCATAGCCACGCCCACCCAGCAACCGGGCAGAGAACCCATTGCTAAAATTTGTGAAGCCCACCCCTGTACATGTTTGCAATCATGTGTTTGTCTGTCCATTTCCACCCTCCTCTCTTTTCCTGTGGGCATTTGGCATTTGACAAAGCAAAAAAGACACTTCAGCCACGTGCCTCCTTCCCTCAAGCGTGCTCTGAGGAGATTTCATCTCATCGGTAACATAATATTGCTGTTTTAAGGATGGACTGGGATTGCAGCAGGAACCCCAAGGATAGGAAGCGCAGAATAAAGGACTTTTTATGGTTGAAGTCCAACTGAAGTCGTTATCTGATACGAATCCAACTGTTTTAATTAGGGCCAATTAAAGAAGACAATGAAATGATCAAATCTCCATAAATTTTCTCCTAAGAAAAATTAATTGGTAAGTGGAAGGAGGGAATCTGTTTTTGGGTAATGTGAGCATGTACTGTGGTCTATTATCTTCTGACTGGAGGCTTTCCGGTTGTTTGAGGAGCGGGTGCCTCTCATAACAGATGCTTAATTACAATATGTCACCATCCATCCTCATTTTAGCCATTGTCTATCCACTGCAGGATAGCAATAGTAATAGCACTTATATACAGCTTCACAGTGCTTTACAGCCCTCTCTAAGCGATTTACAGAGTCAGCCTATTGCCCCAACAATCTGGGTCTTCATTTTACCCACCTCGGAAGGATGGAAGCCTGATTCAACCCTGAGCCTGGGGAGATTCGAACTGCCAAATTGCAGTCAGCCGGCAGCCAGCAGAAGGAGCCTGCAGTACTGCACTCTAACCACTGTGCCACCACGGCTCTTATGAAGGCGTCTTCCACATGTTTCCAACCAATATGGTCCTAAGCTTTCCTTTGCCAATTGGGCCCACAATACCTGCTGATGTTGTTGATCCATCTTGTTTTAGGTATCTTTTGGGGATGCTTTTTATCAATCCTGCATAGCTTTTTCTCCGGTAATATCACTCTACTAACCAGAGCATATAAAACATTTGCTGGACCAATACTTGAATACAGCTCATCAGTCTGGAACCCACATTACATATCTGATATTAATACAATTGAGAAAGTCCAGAAATATTTTACGAGAAGAATCCTCCACTCCTCTACTTGTTGTAGAATACCTTATGCCACCAGACTTGAAATTTTAGACCTAGACAACTTAGAACTATGCTGCCTTCGGTTCGATCTAGGTATAGTATATAAAATTATATATTGCAATGTCCTACCTATCAATGTATACTTCAGCTTCAACCAAAACAGTACAAGAGCACTAAATAGATACAAACTAAAGATAAACCGCACCAAACTTGATTGCAGGAAATACGACTTCAGCAACAGAGTAGTCAATGTCTAGAATACTCTACCTGACTTGGTAGTTTCTTCCCCAAACCCCAAAAACTTTAACCTTAGACTGTCTACTATTGACCTCACCCATTTCCTAAGAGATCTGTAGCGGGCCTGCATAAGCGCACCAAAACATGTCTACCATCCCTGTCCTATTGTTTCTTTTTTTTCTTATTTGTATCTATTTCATATATTGATAACCATGTTTATACTTATACTTGTTATCTAATAATTGTTTGACAAAATAAATAAATCAATAAATAAAATAAGTGGGATCCATTCTATGACTGCCTTGGTCCACCTGCCCTCAGTTCTTCTTGCTATGTGACCAACCCATTTCCATTTCCATTCTTTTACTCTCTTGATGATACCATATACTTTTGTTTGTCCTCTAATCCATGTGCAGGTCTTTCTAGCTTGTCTTGTGATGCCGAGCATGTATCTTTCCGTGGCTCTTTTGAGGCCACTCGTAGCTTTTGTATTGATTGTGAGGTTAATGTCCACGTTTCACCAACATATGTCAGAGCAGATAGCACACACTGATCGAAAACTTTTCAGGCAGAGGGGGAGGCTGTTCTTGAAAATTATGCTTAGCTTGTTGAATGCCTCATGGACCCACACAAACTCCTTCGCCTCGTCAAGGCTCCAATCATACAAGGAGAATTAATATAAAGAGAGAGAGAGAGTGATAGATAGAAAGAGAGATAGAGAGATTAAATTCGATAGATTCGATAGATATAGATTATATATATATATATATA